ATTTCTAATAATTTATTTAAATCTGCTAATGATTCGACGTATCTATTTATCTTAAAATATATTACACTGCAGTTTTTTAATACAGTACTAAAATTTTATTTAAATAATAAATTAGCCTAATTTTACTTCTACATTTTAGTTATTGTGACTCTAATTATAAATGAGACATGACCTTTAGCCTATATAATCTAATGAAACAATAATACTTATACATATTATTAATCTACTACTTAACCCAAAGTTACGCTTAATAATCTAATAGTTTAGCTCCATAATATTCAGAATATACAAAATATAAACATTAGTAAAGTTTATTGATATTATAATATAGTAGCATATTAGGTAAAGTTCTCTAAATCTTACATATAACGTTCCAATCTTGGTTAAGTAAAGTTCTCTAAATCTCCCAATTTTGTTAACTATTTTAAATTTATATACTTGATATAACTAATATATAATAAATAATAATGCTTATGAGTGAAGTTTTTTGTGTTGTAAATTTCAACAGCAGATACTATGTTTATTTAGAGCTAAGAGGTGTATAGTACAAAAATAACAGTGTGTAGCTAAGATTTTAGAATTACCTAATTGATAATCCTATACCATAAATGGGTGATCGACACTACCCAAATATAGAAAAATCACTGACTGTACTGTATGTACTGTATATACTATACTGGGGTGTCTAATGTATATCAATTTACAAACATAGTGCAGGTGTATAATAAAAATCATTAGACTAATTTTTTTATAATTAAAATTTTTAAGATCTGCACGCAATATCAAAAACTATAAAAAAGTTGCTATCTTTCATCTTTAATTCCTCTTGCAATATTAACCATTTTTTAATTCTATAAGCACAAAATGTTTAATAAGAGGTGTTTATATGCTATCAATATTAGAATTTTTATTTTACTAATTATGAATGTCTTTAATTCGAAGCGCAGTTAGTTTATTAAAAAGTTATATGACTGATTAATATTGTACAAGATAACGATAAATGATCTATTTTATTATTCAATAATTCCTACTTCAAACCAACTTTTTAAGCATAGAGAAATTCTGCCTGTTTCTCTAAGAATACTATTCTTAGAAATATTTATAGTATTTTTTATAACAGAAAAAACATTATTACAAGAAACACAAACAGCTTGTAAAGCAAAGTGATCTGCCACAATGTTAGCTAATGTTTGAAAATAAAAGGCGTTGATTTTCTACCACAGCAAAGAATTTATTCCTACTTCTTGAGGTAAAAAAAGATAGATTATTAACTCCTTTGTCTCAGCTTCTACATTGTCTTTATTTCTAAGATTTCTAAAAAAATCTAATGGATCTTCATTTACTCTATATATTGAATAAAGGGTTTGTAGTTAATTAATAGCCATTTCACGGTCTGTTACATAAAAAGTTTCAAACTTAGTCGATGGATCAATTAGAGCAGGAATAACAAAGAATTTTGAAAGATAAGTAGTTCAATACTCCTCCAATTTGTCTTTCATTTTTTGGGCTGCTTCATAGTGTGTATTAATGAAAATATATTTATTTAGATACATTGAAAGACCCAGAATAATTAATCTTATAGAACCATGGAGGGTTGTAAGGTGTCTAAAAGGATTAAATTTGCCTTATAGAATGGTTTTAAAAGTTTAACTATTTCTTTAATTATTATCCAATTGCTAACTTCTAAGTAATCGCTTCTCATATTTGGATATAATTGTATAAGGCTGTCAATAATTGATCAAATTTGAATGAACCGCTTGAGTATCAAATAGATGAAATTCTACTGTGTATCGATATCGACTATAGGGTGGAGAAAAGGGCAGTCTAGAAGAACAGAAATACTCTTCATCTCTTTCAAGAGTGAAGGTGATTCTTTTAATTTATTACAAAATTGTTAGACCTTTTGAATTTGGCTTAGATAGTTTGTCTGTTCTACTTTAATTATAAGGTCTAGGGTGTATTTGGCGCAACTTATGTACTCAAGATCAGGGCTTATAGACTTTCGAAGATAATTGAGGCATGTCGGATTATTCACTTCATTGTTACTGGTTAAACCAATAATTTATTCTTTTATTCCCATATTTTCAACATGTTCAAAAACCTTTTTTCCTAGATATTCACTATTACAGACATCGTCTAAAGGAATGAAGTCGAGAAAAAAGGATCTCATTATCCAATTGGCATCAACTCAATAAACTATAATACTTAAAAATTGTTGTTGAGTACTTGCTTTACAGATATTTAAGGTGAGTGCTAGCTTGTTTTGACTAGTTTGTAAAATATTTTTAACCTTTATTTTAACCAAGTCAAATTGGTTGCTTATTTCTGCAGAGAGTTTTTGGTAACTGGAAATTTTATAACTCGGGTTGAGAATAGAGACCAAATTTATAAACATCTTATATTTAACCACTAAAAATGGTTGTTGGCTAAGAATTATCCACTGCAACAAATTATGATTCGAAGAAGTGGACTCATTGAAATATTCATGATTTGGTATCAATTTTTTTTTTTTATTTAAAAAGATATTATGAGAAAACTTAGAAGAGGAATCAATAGCTTTTCACTTATTTAGCTATTGTTTGGAATGATTAGGTTTAATAATATTTCGAAGAGAGGTTTAGCATCTTCATCAGAAGAAGAATTAATTAGATAAGGTGTTGTTGCCAACATGGTACTTAGGTTTAAATTCGAATATGATATGAGAATAGACGAATTAATGAATAGAAAGAGAAAAAAATAGCTTTATATAATATTCACGGTATTCAAAATTAATCATTAACTGCAAAATCTTTTATTGCATTATTCTAAAAAGATTAAATTTTTTAAATTATTATTATAAAGCGTGGTATTATTTTAATAATGCTAATTTAATTCTTTTCAGTATTAATATTTAGAATTTTACATTTTTGAACATAGCAGTATGCTATGCTATACTATTTTAACGATCTTTCTTGTTGATACGAATATGGAAAATGTGAACATATTACAATACAAGTATTATATTCTATTTTTTCGAATATAGAAATATGCTATTTTGGGATTTTTCTTGTTGATTTAAATATAGAATCAGCGATTTTTTTTGTTGATTCGAATATGGAAATCTGAATAAATCCCAATAAAGTAATCCTGAAAAATTAATAATTAAAGATTTTTGTATTATGGTATGGAAATTGTTATTGGATCTTATTAACTTTTATATTTTGGTTATTAACTATTTAGAGAGCTATTAATGCATAGCGATTTTTTAAAAAAAGCTTCAGGTCAAAAAATTATAGTGTACTTTCTGAATTTGTATCATTTTTCCGTAATCATGTACTGATAAATAAATCTAGGAGGTATTGTAAAAAAAAATTATTAAAAAGAGATTTTGCATTAGAATAGCATGTAATCATATATAGTATAATTATCAAGAAAAACAATTTGGAAATTTAACAATTGCTTTTTAGGATTTTATTTATACCATATTAAAATAATTGTATTATCAAGAGTTGAAAAGCATTCTTAGATTCTTAAATTTCTTTTTTTTTAATTATGTGATTTGTAGACCTATTGATTATTAAAGTGATAATTACTCTACAATTGACATAATTGTGATGCTTTTATTACATTAATGAAACTGATCTTTGATTGATTATTTTAGAAATTGGTCATGACTTGTTCTCAAAGATTATTTAATACTATTGAATGATTAAAAGGTTTCATTATTTTGTAAATTACGATAAGTGTCATGGTGATGACCAACACCTCTTGTGTTGATAGTAATAGGGTTGGGTACGATCATGGGTTACCCGATCGGGACTGGGTAACGTCCATAGCATGATCAGTAATGCATGAATTTAATGTAAAGTCTATTTGTATATTGCATAATGTGTAATCAAGTACCTGGATTAATAATCTGTAATAAAAGCTCATCGATTCCAAAAAGATCAAGAGTGAAGTTTCTTAGTAAAGCAAGTTCTAATTGATAAGCGTTAGTTTGCTTATTAGCTTAGTGAATACACATCTTAGTATACACAGTAGTATAGGTGGTAGTGTCTAGTACAATACACCAGTGCGCAAAGCGAGTGCTTTGACTTAGTGAATCGAGCCCGAAACTCTTATAAGTGCAAACATATATGACAATAAGTTTTATTTGATATGGATAACATTGTTAATAAAATAATTGTACTTTATATTTTAACTAGATTACGACTCACAGAATTCAGAACTAGATTATGACTTACAGAATTCAGATCCAAGTTATAACATACCAATAAACCGCATAATTAATTTATTACTTAAATTATTTATTGAAAGTAGCACTATTTTGCATAAATTAGATTTAGATTTTTCTAATTATTACAAATCGAAAAACATTCTTCGATTCTTCAAATAAAAACTTGTTTTTGATTAAATTATATTTTGATATAATAAGTGAATTGATGTAATAATTTTAAATTATTAGTTTATATTAAAAGATTAAATAAAAACACCCATTATATAATTTATGTTTTAAATATACTTTATTATAATAAATGCATAATGTATTAGTACTATATGAAAAGTCAAGATCAAATAATCAGCTTATTATTGTGGTTTTATGATTTACAATTTCTATGCTTTTACAATATTTATTTATAAAAGGGCCAGGAGCTTGTTATAAATTGGTTAAAGATACATTATTATAATTATTAGTAAATTCAGAATTCCAAATCTCAACTAAAAATTGTTTCAAATTTCAAACACAAAATAAAATCATTTCAATTTTAAATATTCAAATACTCAAAATCCAAGTTAATTAATCCAGTAATAAACGCTATAGCTATAATAGCTTGGTTAAATGCAAAAAATAAACAATTTAAAAATGCCAGAATATTGCGGAAGTGTGGTTAATGAAAAAAATTACTTGATTACCTAATTTCAATATTCGAAAAATTAGGTGATGATGATTTTAATTATATAATAAAAAATATTATCAAATCTCAAAAATAACCACTTGCCTTCAAATAAAATATAATGATATGTGTATATATCTTTTAAATTTACCTGATCACCAAATTTTCAACACATCTACTCTTCTTCAAATGATGATATATCCTCAAGGAGATCGTAAAGAAGAAATATTTTCTATCTACTTACAAAAAAAGGCATGTGAGTTTATAAACACTAGTTTTTATAAACATAATCATACTATTGGAGCATTAGAATTAGAAAATAAGAACTTTAATTTGCATATAAAAAAACTTAAATCTTCTTGTTCACTTTTTATACAAGTAGCAAGAGCCAAACAATTTAAAAAAAAACAAGTTTCAAAAATTCAGGCTTCTATTTGCAAAGCAAGTAAGGTTCATCCTGCTCAATTCCAAAAAGAAGTCAATAAATTATTTAGAGTTAATAATAATAAATACAATGTGAAATTTGTGAAATTGGCTACTGATATTAGTACTATAGGAAGAGCCTTGATATGTGTAACAGTAGAATGCACCAAAGCTGTTTATCAATTTTTAACTGGTGAAACACCACAACATTGGGTAACAACATCAACCTTGGCATGGTGGAATAATGAAATAGCTGCCTTATCTTTTATCCAAAACTGCCCCGTCGATACTTCAAGATTTTTCGGCTATGGCATTATGGCTGATGAAAGTACACATAGAGAAACAAAGGTATTAATTATTAGTCTTTCATATTGGAAACATATTCAAGAAAGGCCCGTAATTACAGTATTAAAAGTAAAAGATCTAATTCAATATAATGCTGAAACTATCTCAGCTGCATTATTTGAAATATGCCAACAAAAAGAAATTACCACCCAAAAATGTCATTTTTGGCTAACAGATAATATGGCTTACATGTCCCCAAAGGCCAACAGCGCAATTGCTAAATTCAACTCACTAATAGCATCTAAATCATTTCAAATTCCTTGTAGATTGCATGCAACTCATATCGCCCTAACAAATTTTGAAAATAAAGTGTTTGAAAAGTTAGATAGCATTAAAGGATTGTCATTAAAAGAGCATCTGTATAATCTACTTAATCTTGCTTTTTACCTTCATGACGGATACAACCTTTCGGATAAGGACAGTCCATTAAACCTAAAATCTGAAATGTTAAAAAAACTTTACAAAATTTTGTTTAATTTCGAAATGTGCCAATATTAACAGCCTATCTATCAAAGGTGGTTATACAAGCTTAAAACCGCCAAACAATATCTTGATCGATGTGAAGTTTATATTCACTTTGCACATTTCTTTATTGAGCAACTTGAAAATGCCAAAGATGTTCCAAAATCATATTTAAATAAATAGCAAATATTTCTTAAATAGCCTATGGATAAGCAACTTAATCTCCAAATATGATGCCTTGTCAAATTTGGTCAGAAATTTTATGAGCCCGTATATAGTTTTCTGACTAGTTATGATCCAATTCCACAAATACACCAACCTAATAATATAGATACACTTCCACCGGGTAATCACGAACACAAAATGCCTAATAAAATAATAATATAGAGTCAAAGGCTTCAGTATTACTTAAAAAATATTTATCAATTATTTGGTAATGAATTAATTAATGCTAAACATGAGTTGAATGTAGAAGACTTTGAAAATTTTCATAAATCATTATGTGCTGGAATAGAAAGTGCACTAAATGGATTTACTAAATGGATGGAAACTTGGATTCATTTACCTCTTGGCATTTGCCAATTAGGTGTGTAGATGGACCCGAGTTTGCTCATGCTTTTTTAAATGTATTTTTTGATATAAATTTTTTAAAGGTTTCAACTTTAAAAAAGATGTTATATATGAAGCTTCAGTGTTGGCATTTGGACTATGTCCAAATAAAATTTTAATTGGATATAGACAAATATAGACATAGACTAGTCCAAAAAGTGTCCATGTCCAAATAAAGAGTTGAATACAAAAATGCTTCGTGTAACTACACGGACCAATAAAATCACTACACGTGACATATTAGCGTAATGTAATATTTTATT